GTGATCAGTACTCCTATCAACGACGAACCTGTCCGCTGTCCGAAAACCTCTGTTGCGGCCTTCAGTCCTTTCGTAGGGCAAAAATCGGCCCCTCGAAATCCGTTTGTCCGTGTCATAATCATCCTTTGATTTTTCTTTGTTCTTTTCTCGTCCTTTGGTCGATAATGGAAAACCAACCTGATCATCTTTGATCCTTATTTTTGATTCGTACCGGTTCTGGACATCCGCTCAGGTCGTTGCTTGAAACTCAAGTAGGCTTTCCTTCAATTTTCGGGAATCTTATGAACTCCTTGGATTCAATCCCTTGGTGAATGCTTCAGCCGCCCATTCATCCAGGACAGCCAGGAACAATATTCTCTCCTTTTGGAATCGGGTAACGAACTCTCGTAGAAGCTCGGGCTTTCTTTGTGCAATCCTAAGTATGTCGGCCTTTCGGGTATGTATTTTTCTGGCTCCGGCATGAGCCTTGATGAAAGAGGCCACGAGCATTTCAAAGGAATCTATGGAATGCTCGGATAACAACGAATACCACGTCAAGACTCCCCTCGTTAGGGTTTCTCCAAATTTCTTTAGCAACACAGATTCAATTTCGTGAGGAGCTAAATCATTTTCCTTCACCACCGTTGTGTAGGTGGTAATATGCTCCTGCGGGTCTGAAGTTCTGTCATATTTTGGCACTTCAGGCATTTTGAACCGCTTCGGGATTAATTCTGGTGCCGCACTTGGCTTGTATGGCAATTGAGTATACGTTTTTGAGTCCGGGCCTTTCAACACTGGTGGCATTCCCGGGATCTGGTCCATGCGGGCGTTCACTTTTCTCATAAACCATAAAAGTTTATTCTTGAAAGGATCATTCTCGTTATTGAGGCCGGATCCGCTCCCCCTGCCCAATCAGAGACAATTTTACCCATGGGAGTGTTGTTGTCGACCCTCTGTGTTGTTTGATTCGCGGGAGCCCCGGGAGGAACCAGATCTCGTTTGTTTGCATTATTCGAAGCTCCCGACAGCGCCTGCTTCAACTCTGCCATAACCTTTTCATGTCACGTGAGGTGGCCTAGAATGATCGCATGTTGCTCTTGCAAGACCCTTACTGTGTCGACGATATGTTCCTCATCAGCATCATCGGGAGTTGTCTCTCGAACATGTTGAGGATATTGCCTATCATGCACCGGTATGGCGCCATTCCCCTCATTTGTGGGTGTCGCTGATTGAGTCCTCGAAATGAGACTGATCCCCTCAAATCTCGGGGTTGTGCGTGTTGTTAAAAGTGTTATCTGCCATTTTTATGATTTTTTCAAAGACAAAATAATCAAAACACGTTAGTAAAAAAAGTAAGGATCAATTTAACTGCACGACTGTCTAGGTCCCACGGTGGGCGCTAAATTATTTACCCGTAAAATGATACAGTTGAATTTATACGTGATTTCTAGATAAGTAAATTAATGTAATCCTGAAATAATAAAATAATCAAAGAATTATGCAATACTTAGCCTTAGGATGCAGACGAAACAACAGAAGCAACAGTTTTGGGAACAGAATTTTCGAGTACAACAACAACGAAATAAAAAGCAAGAAGATAAGATTATATTAAGCTTTATATAGAATGTAGCGTAAGTTTGCTAAAAAATTCGTATCCCTCTACAATGATAACTGAGCTCACTATTTATAGCTATGTCTAGGGAAGGAGGTCCTAGGATCGTGCCCTTCTTTAATGTCAATTATGAGGGTCATTGATGAAGATGTAACGGTGAACATAAATGCCAAATTCCCTGTAACAGGTAATCGCTCTTAATTCCATGGAATATTCTCTATTAAATGCTACCGGGCGAAGAGCATTTATCACATCTTTATGAGCATTATTCTTTCCGGTGACAAACGAAACAGTTGCCTTCGGTCTTTAGCCATCCCCCGTCTTGGGTTCCACGTGTCCCTTTTCTGGACTGCCACGTGTCATAGCATATTTTACCCTATACTAGATTATCTTTGCAGGAGATCATGAGATCATCTACAAAGATCAAGTGAGTTAGCTTCAACTGTTTGCACATGGGATGAAACTGAAAATCTGAAAGTTCACTCATAGTTGAAAGAACTTTAGACAGGTATTTCATTACTAACACAAATAGTAGAGGAGACATATGATCTCCCTGCCTTAGTCCCCTTCTCCCCTTAAAATAATCATGTCCTTCACCATTTACTTTGATAGAGAATTTAGTAGTTGTTACTCATACCATAATCAAGTGAATGAATCTCTGTGAGAACCTAAACCCAACCAGAACTTCTTCAAGAAACCATAGGTCCACCATATCATAAGCCTTCCTTAGGTCAATTTTCATAAGGCACCTTGCAGAGGTCTTCCTACTGTAATACCTCAAAAGATCATGGCATATATATGTGTATACATATATATGTGTGGAGTTCTTGGGCTCCTTATATGATCTTGGGCAATCCTCACCCCATGAGCTAGCTTTTGAGATTGAGTTAGGTCCAAGGTCCATTTATCATGGTATATATATATATATACACACACACGAAGAAATAATAACTGCACCAATTTTCGGTAATCACTATTCACTAATACAACATACTATTTCCCTTCCGTTGGGTATAGTAATGGAGAGCAGAAGCGTTTGAACATAACTATTAGTAATTAGTGCCAATTAGAGTTCAAAACCTGTCATTTAGGGGTGGGTATAGTTTGGGCAAACCCAAAATCCAAACCGAAATACGAATATTTTAAAATTTTGGTTTGGATTTTCGAATTACGGGTTAGATTTTGAATTTAATTTTTAAAAATTTTGGATTACGGATTGGATATTGGATTTGATACTTCAAATTTTTGGATATCCGAAAATCTGAAATTCTTATACTTTATATTTAGTCCATTATCTATTAGATATTATCTCATATTCAATATTAATTACTAAGTTACTGTAAGAATACTTTCTATTTGGACATGGTTTTACTATTTCTACTTCTTATCGGCCGTATTAATGTCTCTATTGTATTTTTTTGATAATAATTTAATTACTTGAATACTTCATTTGGATGATTGTGACGAGAATGAGGAACTTTTCAGGCAATTTAACATGAGTACCTAATTTGGATATTCATTTTTTGTAAAAAGAAGAAACACATCAATTTATAAACTCAAAATCGAAAATTCAAAATATCCAAACCGATTAATCCGAAACCGAACTTAAAATCTGATCCAATTCGAACTTATTTGGATTGGATTTGAATTGTCATTTCTTCAATTAGAAAATCAAAAATCTAAACTGAAATTTTTATATTCTATCCGAACTGTGCGAACGCCACCCTACGGTGTCATTTTGTCACGAGTATGCCTTTTACTTTCTTATGCTGATTCATTTGAAGTTTGTCTTTCTCCTTTAGTTGGACTTTTCTATGAAAGGCCACCAATAAAAACCATCCACTAACCCATCTTTCAAAATGTAAAGAACCCTCCAATCGTATCTCTTATCCTTTTCCATTAGGTGTAATTTCATTGGTGTGCGTCAACTTCCACTTTTGTTATTTAATTTTGTTAATTCCTATGATTATGCACTTGGACGATTTTTTTTGTTTTTTTACGTGACTAAGTCATGCATAACTCGATTAATTTATTAAATATTTATTAATTTTTTTCGAAAAAAGATACAAAATAACTATGTCGAAAAAAATTCATCAATTTAAAAAAAGAAAAAGTATTTCTTACATAAATTTTTGAACAATAGATTGATTATTTTTTAGAAAATGGTGACGGTTGAAAAGAATAGGAAAAATGACACTATATAACCGTTGTAAAAATAATAGTAAAAAATTAAAATAAAATTTATATATTTTTTGTATATATATACATTATGTATGTTATATACAAAAATCATATAAGTTTTATACACTTTTTCGACTATCAAATATAAATAGTTTCTGGCGCGGGCTAAAAATAATAATACCCAAAAGAATAAAACATAGTATAAACATTTAGTCATGGTATTAAGTTAAGTTCTATATTAAAAAGCTCTTATTAAAAAGCAAAAAGAAGAAAGATAAATTCATTCCTAGTTATTACTGCTTTATTTACATAAATGATTTTCAATTCCAGGAGTGGGTTTCTACTGTTGTGTACTATGATTGGGAGGTTGAATGTCCAGAGTGACAGAGATTCTCACGTGCCACCCACTTTTCACGCACTAACACACAGTACTGTGTGTGTCTTTTGTCTCTCCCACCACCCCCACCATCCTCTCTACTCTCTGTACCTTCTCTATTTCTTTTTTGATCGAATGGTTTCTTATTCCTTGTCTTGATCATAATCCGGTGATGATTCATGTGGTAAGCTTCTTAAAGTTCTTGGATTTTTGCATTTTACAGTTTATTTATTTATTGTGTTGTGTTATGGTTTTTCAGGATTGGAAATTGATGAGTTAAAGCTGAGATCTTTTTGCTCCTCAAATATTGCTCCAAAGGTCAAAACTTTAACTTGGTATCCTCTGTATCTTTTGAGAAACCAGATTCTTGATTTAGTTACTTATTGTGTTGTGTTATGGTTTTTCCGGATTGGAAATTGATGAGTTAAAGCTGAGATCTTTTTGCTCCTCAAATATTGCTCCAAAGGTCAAAACTTTCACTTGGTAAATTTGTATCTTTTGAGAAACCAGATTCTTGATTTAGTTACTTATTGTGTTGTGTTATGGTTTTTCCGGATTGGAAATTGATGAGTTAAAGCTGAGATCTTTTTGCTCCTCAAATATTGCTCCAAAGGTCAAAACTTTCACTTGGTAAATTTGTATCTTTTGAGAAACCAGATTCTTGATTTAGTTACTTATTGTGTTGTGTTATGGTTTTTCCGGATTGGAAATTGATGAGTTAAAGCTGAGATCTTTTTGCTCCTCAAATATTGCTCCAAAGGTCAAAACTTTCACTTGGTAAATTTGTATCTTTTGAGAAACCAGATTCTTGATTTAGTTACTTATTGTGTTGTGTTATGGTTTTTCAGGATTGAAAATTGATGATCTAGGCTGAAAGAGCGTAGTTTTGACCTAAGTTCCTTACATTTAAGGTTCCTCTCCTTCGCGGGATAGGGCACATTCCGCCATAACCACGCTTTAAACCTCGATCCAGTTCTCAAACTATATGAAAGCTGAGATTTTTTTGCTCCTCAAATACTTCCCCAAAGGTCAAAACTTTTACTTGGTATCCTCCTCTATCTTTTGAGAAACAAGATTCTTGATTTGGGGTTTTGCCTGACTTGTGGTTGGAATCAAGAAAATCTGTGTGGTTTTATTACCATTTGCTAATTGACTAAAAAGGGTCTCTGATTGTTCCATTTTTTGGTTGATTTTCCCTCAAGATTATCTGGGGTTTGATTAGCTTTTGAAATCTTTCCCTTAAGAGATTACTGAGAATAACCAGATGTTGGGATTTAGATTCCTTGAAAAGTGTCCCTTGGATAATATGGTAATGCAGTTTGGAGATATAAGCTGTGTAATTGTATTGTTTGGATTATAGCATTTGTTTTCTTGGGACCCTTTTGAGATTGTTGTTTTATTTGAGGGTATGATGGAGTACCTTCCTGTTGAGGTCATTGGTAACATTTTATCCCGGCTCGGAGCTGCGCGGGATGTTGTAATTGCATCATCTACTTGTCGGAAGTGGCGAGAGGCTTGGCGGAATCATCTTCATACACTCACCTTTAACTCGAATGACTGGCCGGTTTATCATGAGCTCACAAGGAGCAGACTTGAGATAATTATAACTCAGACTATTTTCCAGACTAATGGACTGCAGTGCCTTTCAATCATATTGGACGACGTCGATGAGTTCTCTGCTGCTCCGGTCATTGCTTGGCTAATGTATACCAGAGAAACGTTGCGCCAGTTACATTACAATGTTAGGACTACCCCGAACATTAATATACTCGAAAAATGTGGTCGCCAGAGGCTTGAAGTGTTGGCTCTGGCCCACAACACAATCACGGGTGTCGAACCTAGTTATCAAAAATTCCCTTGCTTGAGGTCTCTTTCACTGAGTTATGTTAGTATATCGGCTTTAGACCTGAGTCTTTTCCTTACAGCCTGCACGAAAGTTGAGGTTTTGAATCTTGTCAGTCTAGACATTGTTATGTCTGATCCACAGGCAACGATGGAGCTGAGTAGTAACTCTTTGAAAGATATCTATGTTGAAGCCATTAGTTTGGATAAAATCATACTTGAGGCAGATAGTCTCGAGAAGCTGCATTTGAAAGATTGTACGCTCGAGGTCTTTGAGCTTGTCAGCAAGGGGAAGTTAAGACTCCTTAAGATCGATGACGTTAGCGTCATCCATCTTGATATCGGCGAGAGTGCTGAAAATCTTGAGATTGTGGACGTCAGCAATTTCACGATCATGTGGTCCAAATTCCATCATATGATAGCGAAATCGTCAAAGCTGAGAAGACTGAGGCTATGGGGAGTTGTATTTGATGATGATGATGAGGTTGTCGATATTGAGACAATTTCTGCTTGCTTTCCTCAACTAAGTCATCTATCATTGAGCTATGAACTAAAAGAGACAGCACTTCAATATGGATTGCAAGATTCTTTTCGATTGGAAAATGTGGTCGTCTTGGAGCTAGGCTGGACAGTGATTAGCGACCTGTTCTCGCATTGGGTAGCAGGACTACTTGAAAGGTGCCCTAACTTGAGGAAGTTGGTAATTTATGGGGTCGTCTCAGAAACCAAAACGCATGAAGAATGTCATACATTAGCCAACTTCACATCTTTCATTGTAAGGCTTATGAGGAAGTATGCGGATGTAGATGTTCAGTTTGAATATGAATAGACTTTAACAATTGTTCCCTACGGTGGAGTTCAAACCTTTGTCTAATCTCGGCAATGCAAGGATGTACATGATCCTTAGTGGTGATTGTCTTTTTCTTATATTGGTACAACACTGTAATTTATGATAAATTTTGCACTCGTCTTATTCCTTCAATTCAGGTAAACATAGCATTTGCATTTCTTGTTAGCCTCTTGTTATTAGTTTGTGCATTCATGCGCACTCTTTCCGTTATTACGAATTTTCCTCAATTCTGGTTTTTTTTTTTTTTTTTTTTTTTTTTTTTTTTTTTTTTTTTTTGGAAGCTTCCTGACAGTTCATGTTGTAGTTCATTGGTACATATGCATGATGTCAACTTGTTAAACTGACTGAAGAAATGAGAGAAATAGAAGAAATATTGGTTAATTATTTGACAAAGGGAAAAAACCATAGAGCTAACATTACTGTTCAACTACTCTGAACAATAGCACTGCTCAAGGTAAATGAGCAGTGCTTATGCCTCTGTGGTATTGGTTAGAAAAGCTGTTAGAATTTCATCTTTCATAAGATCCTCTTCCTAAAAGAATGGTTGAGGTTCATTTAAGAATGGTTCATTTAACTAGCCAGAGAACTACTCATGAATGTTTAGATTGAAAAAATCTGGTACAAGTGTTCGTATTCAGTAGGTTGGTTGTTTTTGTGCAACTTGAAACCCAGAGATTAGAAAGCTTCGGAAGAATGGATTCTCTCTCTACAGCTGCTTTGCAAGTTCCAGCTTTCATGGTGCCCCTTATTGTTGGTATTGTTCTCTCTTTCTCTCTGTTTTTTTATACATTGAATCTTTTGGTAGTGTCTTAACCAACAAATATTATTTGTGAAGGCATGCTAGAAATCGGTACTGTGGTGGGAGACGGATATGTGTAGATATGCATTTTTGAAGAAAAGGCATAGCTTCTGATTCCTAACTTTTATCTGGAATCTGTTGCATCATTAAGGATTACCCTTAACATTTGAAGACCTAATTCAAGTGAATTCTACTGCTGATCAGTTTTAGAGCCTCTTTTTTTTTTTCTTCCTTTTACTCCTATTTGTTAGTATAAAAATTGCATATGGAATTTGGCGTGCAAAAGTTGGTCCAGACACCACTATTATAAAAAAAATTATTGCAAAATTTGTATTGGGTAAAATGCTGAAGGGAGATAAAGAAAGAGCGAAAGATTTCTTGGTAAATGTGAATTAACTAGAGGAGTCGGCCTTAGTATTCTTGGAATGTTGTTTTCTAGACTTTGAGTGAGCTGAATTAATTCAGCATCTAGCGTAGGAAATATAAGTTATTGTGCCCTCAAAAACAGAACCCATCATTGAAGGTGGACGCGCCTTAGCACCTTGATACCTACACCAGAGCGCCAATTAATCTAAGACAAAGCGCACAACCTGAACTTCACCGAGCTTCAGGGCTTAAGCGCACTTTAAGCGAGCACAACAGTCAATCAACTACAAAAACATCTTAATTTTCTGTTTAGATTGACAAGATATATATTTTTTCTAATCTAGTTTTGTTGACTAGTTTTATTTCTAGTTTTTGATTTCCTATTCAATCATTTACATATTCATATATCATGTTTCCTTAACAATTGATGTAACATTTTGTCGGCTACTTCAAGTGGGGGCTCATGAGACTCATAGATTAACTAATTTCTTAAAGTTGTTTGTTGGCTGGTTTCTGCTGAGGCACGCTTGGTGTCAATTTGCAGTCTTTGCTGAATCACCACTTAAGAGACATAAAGTGCTCAACCGATCTCAAGTACACGCTAACAACACTCAATAGAACAAATAAACAGCAACAGATGAATATTTATAACATGAGGACCTTGTGTAAAGCTTGAGTTGTTAAACGAAATAATCTATGAAACCTGTGAAGGTTGGATAAAATATTATTAGTTGTAGAAGCACGTCAAAGATTTTGAGATGCTTAGAAATGGAATGTGTACCTAAATTAGTAATTGGTCCTTCCCTGCCAGTTGAGTTCTTTTTGGTTTTGGTTGCTTTTAAATATCGAGACCAAGTTGCTTTTCCATTCAAGAAATCATCTGCACTGCAGTGTTAAGGTGCGGTTTCTTTTATTTTGTCTTAGCCTTAGAGGGTGCTCCCCCTTTCTCGCGTAAAAGCAATCAGAACTCGAATACGCCGCGTTTTACTGGGAAAGATCGAACCATGGGAACGAATCCACAGGGCTATCACGTTTTACCTATGCCATGATGCTCATGGGCAGCTTATCTCTAATTGAATTTCCTTTTCTAACTTTCGTAAATTCTCTGTTGCTTACATGTCTGTCTTAAGAGTTTTGAGCAAATGATTGAAGTCATACAAGTCCTTGCTGGGATTGGATATATCCTGTTGTATCATCTTCGGTTGTTAGTAATTTATGTGGCTCTTGGTTTTCTTCAGTTTCTATCCCACTTGACTTCCCAATTGGAGAAATCATGTCTTTGTTACTGTACTGAGTACCTAATTACTCCACTTAACAGCACTTTCTGCTTGAGTAAATTACAACAACTACATGCCCAGTATATTCCCACATGTGGGGTTTGGGGAGGGTAGTGTGTACGCAGACTTTATCCCTACCCTATGCAAGTAGAGAGCTGTTTCCAGAGACCCTCAGCTCAGACAAGCACAGTTAGAACAGTAAAGGAAATTGAAATATAGCAATAGTAAAGAGTCATTAGGAGCAGAGATAGTAGCACAACGAGCTAGTAACTAAATCGATTCTGCTTGAGTAAATTGAAATGCTGAAAGTTAGAATTTTTGAAGGCAAGACTTGAATGAAAGGGAGACAGGATGAAGGTAAATTCTTGTAATAATGTGCTTGATTTTCATCACTACAGTAGCTTTTGCTGCTCCGTCATAGTACGAGTTTTCAGTATTTTCTGCTCTCTAAATTGTTCTAGAGCAAGATCGACCTATCAAAAAAGAAAAAAATGTTCTGGAGCAAGATCTTTTCCCTATCCCAACAGCATAATATGAAGCCTTTTCTTTCCCAGTGATCTGATGAACCAAAAGGTCTCTCGGACCTATTGTTAAGAATAATGAGATACTATTTTCATTAGTAGCATTTAACCAACGCTGCAACCAGATGCTTCGACCTGCATTAAATGCTAGCTCATATCACTTTATCCGGATGTAGCAGAGTAGTAGCAACTGCTAGTCGGCATGAGATGCCGGTTTTTTATTAACAGTCTTCCTTACTCCTAATGATGTGGGAATGCCACATTTTCTGTACAATGTTGTGTATAAACAATGTGCAATATAGGAATGAGATCATTAGAATGTAGACTTTATCTTTTACTTTATCAAAAACAAAAATGGATTTGTTTCTAATTCAAGTGTCATTTTGTATGCCTGCCTTTTGGATATTGTATCTTATTTTTGCATTCTTGCAACTCTCCTACTTGCTCGGAAACAACCTCTCTACCTTCACAAAAGGTAAGGGTAAGGTCTTCGTACTCATTACCGTTCTCAGACTCCACTTGTGAAATTACACTAGGTTTGTTGTTATTACAACTCTCCTCCTTTTCACGCAGAGGATACTTAATGTGAGTATAGTTTTCTGATAAAAAAAACATAGGGATATCAGTACTTTCTTTATTATGTATCTCTTTATATATGTCCAGTTTTCCCTACAGGAAATTGACTAACAGGGGAAGGCATAAGATCCATCTGCAAAATTTAGAGGATGTCACCCCTTTTTTCTTTGTGAACATTTGTGGTTTCTGCCCACGGTTTGATGGGTACAGTTATTCAGTATCTTTGTGGGTGGAAATACAAATACTCTATTGAATTGTCAAGGTGCTTGCAAGCTGCCAAGGGCTTACACACCTTGGCCGAAGCAGTGTCACGTGATACTGCTTCGTCGAATTGGCAAATACTCTCTGCTGGTGTAGATGCAAATACTCTATTGAATTGCCGAGGTGCTCATAAGTTGGCAGGGGCTTACACACCTTGGCCGAAGCAGTGTCACGTGATACTGCCTCGTCGAATTGGCAAATACTCTCTGCTGGTGTAGATGCAAATACTTTATTGAATTGCCGAGGTGCTCATAAGTTAGCAGGGGCTTACACACCTTGGCCGAAGTAGTGTCACGTCATACTGCTTCATCCAATTTTTTAATTAAATATGTATGTATAGATAAAAAGCAATACGAAAACATTGGGTATCATTATAGTGATATAATTTTTTGTTCACCTTTTCAAATGTTGGCACTACTTACAGAAATTCCTGCGTACGCTCCCGACACTATTGTTATAAGAAAACATTGGTGGCTTCTGTACGGTATCTACTTATGGTGGCACTAGCAGAGTTTAGAGAGAATCAAACACTAACATTTTAATATTTATTTGGTAGGGCATAAAACATCTTTTACCTAAGATATTTTTTCCTAAAACATGCTTTGAAATAAATAATTTTTAGTTTATTCTCCAAGTTTAATTGGCTCAAATAAAACAATTTGTTTGAGACCGAAGCATAATTGTTGTTGTTATGTCCAAGTTTAATTGAATGTAATGTGTAACAGTAGTGGGGATGTGGGGAGAGTCTTGTTTATTCCATTTGTTTATGATGTTTACAGAAGAAAAAAATTCAACAATATAAAAAAACCAAAATTTAATATAAATAGATTCGGCAAATATTTGACTTAAGTCATGTTTGGTGAACTCCAGATTTTTAGCTGAAATTTGAAGAAGCAGCCACTTGATTTTCTGCTGAAATTTTAAATAAGAGCAAAAGAATTTTAAATATGAGCAAAAGTACATCTCAGATTTATATTTGTTTTGGATCCGAACATTAAGGTAAGAGTTTAAATTATATTATTATCTTAAACGAAGCAGATCCAAAATGGGGATAAAGTCCAAATTTTGCAAAATTTGAACATTATTTTATTCTGTAGTGACAGTTTCTCTGTTGGAAAATAGATGCAACTTTAAACTAACCAAAGCAGCAAATAGTATTATTTATTATACTTCATATATGGGGTTTTTATCTGTCGTGGTTTAGTGGACAAAATTATTAAAAGATAGTAATAGCTAATGAATAAAATTAATATGGTTCGATGTAAATATCAAGTCCGAATAATATTTATCTACTTTATATATAAGGATTAATCTGGCATGTCTTAGTAGAGAGAACTCAATTATTTATATACTAATAAAAGGTGATAGATACCGAATAAAATTTCTAAGCATGTATAAATTGATCGGGGC